GAAGAAATAAAGTTTTTAACCTATCCTCGCTGTTAAAGTATCATTTAATCTACCCTTGCGGTTAAAGTACTATTTTATCTACTATTTTTGATAAATATAATGAAAAAAGAGCTTTTCCAGTTCTTGAAAAATTACAATGCAATTTTTCTTCTCACGACATTTAATAGATAAATGTATCCAAAGTAATTAAATGTTTTTTTGTAATCTTGATAAAAGCCAGGAATTTCCTCTCACACCATTATCACCCTCTGTTGATTTCGTGGAGTTGTAGTAAACATTTCTCTTTAATTGGTCGTAAAATAGTTGTTTAATTAATATAGTACAAGAGCTTATACTATCCTTTGTTTTATCTTAGTTAATAAGTACCTATTTGAAAACTTTGAATATAAATTCAATAGTTTATAAAACAATAAATATACTTTTTTTTCTAAAAAACAATTTTAAACTAACTTATAATCAAAAAACGGCGTCAGGTGAGCTTGGAAATGACCATCGATGACATTCATCATGTATTTAATTTTAGATTGTATGGTCTCAGAAGTCAGAAGTTTAAATTAAAACTTCATAATGTTTAACTAAAAAAACTAATTTCTTTTAAAACAAGATATATTTTATAAATTCAATAACCCCTAAAACACTATTATTGATTTATATCAATATTGATTCAATAAACATAAAATGTTTATCATAGACCGCGATATTGTGATAACTTTTGATATCTATTTGTAATGTTGTTGCTCGAACTAAATTATTTAATTAAAGTAGTAAAATATGTTAATTAAATTAAACTTACCGCTATTTTAATTTATTACATTGATTAATAAAAGGTCATAAACATAAAATTGTTTGTTTTTAAATTTACGCTTTTTTCCACAATGGAATACATGTTTTTATGTGGTAATGTGTTATAATAAGTAAATAAAAATATTTTTTAAAAAAAATATTTTGACCAGAAGTTTTGATTGGCGTTGTTGACAGATGACTAGTCCGAAATTTCTACACACAGAGTGCTAAATCGAAACATTTTGGAAACAAGGTTTTTATTTATTGTCGATTCATTTTCGAAACACGAGTTTATCTCTTTTTAGACACAAATATGATATAATGAATATGATTGTTGTCCGACTCCATGTCAATTTTATAAAATAATGAATTAAAATTCCGCCATAGTGATAGCGTGTTTAATTAAAAATTTATGTTTTATCGACTGTTGAGCTTTTAAACTCATAAGAAAGCGTTCTACTTACATTGATTTATATGTTTTTACTTTCATAACTATGATATAGAAATAAAAATAAAAATCTATATTTCAAACAGAAATATTTTGTAGCAACAAATAATGATATATAGAAGAGGCATTAAAAATATGAAAGTACATTATTAAAACAAACGATGAATTTGCTTTTGCCAGAACTTTTTTGTTCGAGAAAACCTAAAAACAAAGGTTTTAAGACAAAAAAATTATGGCGGAGGTCGACATTATTGATGGTTGTTTTTATTTTGAAATCCAGACCAGACATAGACTATTTTAGTTTGATATTTTGTTTCTTCACATTTAGAAACAGTGGCTGCTGAAAACGGGACAATAAACATCTTGAACACAAATCGCAGAAAATGTTTCGAAACATTTATGCGGCCACGGCTAGTGCCACCACATTGAAAACACATGTACCAAAACCATATAAAATATATAGGTTTCGAAAATGTTTCCTATTTGTGGCATACCGTTTCCATTTTGTATCAAGAAACAGAAACACGATTATTAGACACATTACCTGTTCAAAAATGCTACTTGGGACAAACAGCTTAATCTTTTTGGAAATATTTTTTTATAAATAATTTGATCCCGTACTAAACCCAGTTTATTTTATCCTCCCTGTGATCTCTTTTTTATATCAATTTACGACCAGTACCTCATTGTATCCTTAACCTCATACATGAAAACAATGTCCAACTGTTGTGTCCAATTTTTACTTGCTTTCAGCGTAGTTCTGTTCCTCTTTCCTCCAGAAATCAAGAAATATCCAAAAATTCGAAAGATATTCACTGTTTGCTCTTGGCTTCTTATCATTGTCATTCTTATATTAGGTCCTTTGTCTGTTTTTATTAAAGATTCAGTTTTTACCAACATACCGATGAGTTCGAAGGTAGTGTATGATATATCTTTACTGTTTTTGTCTTTTAGCAACATCTCCATTTCGTTGAATGCAATTTTCAAGCAGTCTGAACTAAGGCAAGCAATGAAGGAGGTTACCAAAACGTTTGATCAGCATTTCGTGCTATATTTTCTAATGTTTCTTCTAGTACTTCTTATAAATACCTCTTTTATTATCCTAACACAAATGAAAAGGACTGACAATGAGTATTATTACATCTCTGTGTTTCTTGGCGAGGGCTTCATGACTTGTAGAAGCATAACATATCTGTTTATAATATTTTTACTGATAAATAACGTGAAAAAAGAAGCAAGAGCTCTCAATTCGTCTTTAAGAAGCTGTAATGATGCAGGTTGTGTAAAAAGATGCAGAGTAGTGTACAGCGAATTGTGCGACAGGGTAGAAAAAATCAACAATGTTTATGGATTGGCTTTGCTACTTTTGATCTACTTCTTTATATCTAACTTTTTGAGACACGCTGTATATATCAGCTTACACTACTCAGACTCGCTGATTACAGTTGTAAGATCGCTGTGGATATTTTCTTATGGGGTGAGTCAAAATAGAAACATAAATATATAATAAATTTTATATACAGGGGTTTGTCTCAAAAGTGGCTCACCTTTATAACTATTTTAATTTTTCAGATAAAAAAACGAGATTTGGTATTTTAGTATGTGATATAAATTAGGACTAATTATCGACGTATTCAATTGTTTTTGGTCACTTTATGTTTCACCGTAAATGACTACAACTTTTGATTTTTAAATGGCATCCTTGGTATATTTTTACTTTATTCGATAGAAAATGAGACTGTGAATAGAATGACATATCATATGTCGATTTTTGACAATTTATTCAAATACAACAAAGGCATATTTATCAAAAGAATTTTTTACGAATAATTTTGTATCACACTTTTGGTATTGTCGTTATGAACCGTATGTTAGAATGTTACAATTTCATATAAACCATATGCGAAAATGTCAAAAGTTGACATGTAAAATGTAATTCTATTCAGAGTGTCATTTTCTATCGAATATAGTAAAAAAATACCGAATAAAAAATACGTTAATAAATCCTAATTTATGTCATCAAGTAATATACCAAATTTCGTTTCTTTATCTGAAAAAAATATAAAAGATATAGGGGTGAGCCACTTTTTAGACGCACTCGGTATATCCTATATAAAATTTGGGGATACCAAAAATAATCAGGGATGAAAAATAGAGATTTTTTTTCTAAAATTTAAAGGGAACAAAAAGAAATCTAAAATACCAAATCAAATTTAATAAAATATAAAAGAAAACTAAACAATTCCTTGAAAATTCTGTATAGTTTTTTTTTAACTGACACTCTCAAACAATGCTGAATACAATAATAAACACATATACAATTATAAGTCACAAAACTACCAACACGTAACTTATAATAACACTTAACACTTAAATAATGAAAAAAAATCAGTTTCAGGCAATATATCTTGCGCATGTCGGTGACGACTTGACCAAAGAAACCAAAAAGACTTTAAAAATTTGCTATAAAATGATGCAAAAACCTCGCGTAGAAGCAAACGGACTAGGAGTCTACCAGAATAGTGATTTGTTCCTCCTGGCACAGGAAGCTTCGTGTAGAACACTGACAGTGTCAGCAATGGGTTTCTTTAGTATTAATCATTCCATGATTATGTTCATCCTGTCAACACTGTGTTCTTATTTGATTGTAGTGTTACAAGTGTTGCAAAGGAAAAATTAACTTGTTCCAATAAATTGTTTATGTCATAAAAAAATTCTTGTATTTTTTAAACGTCTGTTGTCAGAGGAGGTTGGGAAATACTCTGTCCCCTCTACAACAGAAAGTTCCACATGTATGATGAGTTATAGACTCTGTGTTTATTTTTTAATTCTCATCTTATATTTATTTAAGATATATACAGGGCGTTCCTCTAAAAAAAAGAAGGAAAAACTAATTTATGTTCTAGAAAGTTTGGCAGTACATTTGATTTTTTAAACAGGCAACTTTATCCCAATTTAAACCACCCTGTATCTCTTATCGTTTATGTAAATAGTGAGAGCCGAATTCAAACATCCTGTATTTAAAAATATTAATTTATTTATATACAGGTTGATTTTTAACCTATACGCATAAGCTTGGGAAATTATTGCTGATGACAAATAATAGTCTAATAATATAGTAATAATGAAAAAAAAAAGTTAGTAAAATATTTTTAGATTCTGAAATAATTGGGTTTTTTTTCCACAAAAATTTTCAACTTTATCAGTAAATGCACATTCAATTTAGTTGAATTCACGTTTTTTGTTTTTATTTCAAATAGTTTGTTATCTGGCCATCCGTCGCGTCCAGCCGTCGCATAAAGCCGTCGCGTAAAGCCGTCGCATAAAGCCGTCGCGTAAAGCCGTCTCCCCCAGCCGTCGCGTCCAGCCGTCGCTTACAGCCGTCGCGGCCAGCCGTCGCGTCTATCGGTGGCGTCTAACCGTCGCGGCCAGCCGTCGCGTCCAATTATTGCTGATGACAAATAATGAAAAAGAAGTAAGTAAAATATTTTTATTTACGGAGATAACAAACTATTTGAAATAATGGCAAAAAAAGTAAATTCCATTAAATCGAATGTGCACTAAATATTTTTATTTACGGAGATAACAAACTATGTTGAATGTGCATTTACTGATAAAGTTGAAAATTTTTGTGAAAAAAATTCAAATTATTTCAGAATCTAAAAATATTTTACTAACTTTTTTTTCCATTATTAGTCATTATTTGTCATCAGCAATAATTTCCCAAGTTTATGCGAATAGGTTAAAAATCACCCTGTATATATCCGAAATTAAAGAAGTTTTTTACTAAATTTTTATAACATCTAAGCGCACATTTTACTAATTTAAAACAAAAAAACTGTAGCTGAATTCTGAACTTATGTGGTTGTAGTATCCGTAACGTTGGACCGTACTTTTCCAGATGAACTGATGGAAACTGTATCTTTTGAGTTGGATTTAATTGACGAACTTCTTCTAATCTGAAAAACAAAGTATTCTTTAACTATTATTGTTAAACAAGCTATATTTTGAATCAAATATAGTAAATTTTTCTAGTATTTTATAAAACTAATTTCATTTTTTTGAATCATCATTAATAAAATGTTTCACCAAAAACGTAATTCACTGTAAGAAAAGTTTTAAATAGTTAGGTATACATAGAACTGCTACTTAGGCATACATATGACTGACATTAACTAAACACAGCCAGCAATAAAGTGGGTCTCAAAATGAATCTAGCAAAAACCAAAGTAATGTACAACGAAATAGTGGAAAAAAAGACATTCTAATAAACAACACTGAAAATAGTAGGAGAAAATATATATCGTAGGCGTATTGTTAAACCAGACTTATTATAATACGCCTAGGCTGGGCATATTATTTATTGACGGGTTGGTTGGCGTGGTTATTTGGAGGGTGTTAATTCATTGGTTAGTTGGTTATTTGGTGGGGTTGGTTGGTTTTTACTAATTTATATTTGTTTTTTCTTAGATATTGTCATAGATCATTAGAAGTTATAAAAAAATGATGGAATGTTTTTTATAAGAATTTTCTTTTGGAAAAAATATTAAAACAACTAATACTATGCGACGGAGCTGTTCGCCGGTGAGCAATGGGTCGTAAGCTAGTGAAAATTAAATTGTGATACTTACGTCTTTATAATATACTGGGCGCCACTCAGTTTTCCATTTACTTTCGAAAACTTCTAAGTTGAGAACTGAGAAATCAACTCAGAATATAGGTATTACTTATTTTAGGAATTGCACAAATGAAACGCTGAGATAAATTAATAACTAAGTATAATTAATAATTAAATGTTAATTAGAATAAAATAAGACTATGAAAAATTTGATGTTTGAAAATATTTGTTGGTAAATTGTATGTATCAAAATAGATCACTCAAAATGGTAGTTTAATCTGCACGCTTCTGAATATTAATATTTTATTAATTATTCCGCAAAAAGTCTGGGTGATCTTGGTACTGAAACGTAGGGACTCTTTATAGTAAAAAAACCGTACTATGTAGATATCAGAAATATGCATAACATGAATAAAATATTTTAAAGCGACTGTAAAGCAATCAAATATATAATATGCCTGAAGGGCTTAATGCATTCAAATGAACTTTAATTAAATAGATATAAAATGAAATGATCTGGCATTTTTTTAGCCGTTCTGGTCACAAGCTGGTTGTGGTGATCTGCTACTGGAACTGGATTGTGATAAAAACGTCTCTGCACAGACAGGCTCGAAAACTTGTGTGGATTCAGGAGATTCCTCCGTTATTCCCGGTGTGAAATGTAGGAACAAAACGTGGCCCAAGTGTCAGGTACAAAAAAAAAACAAATGGCACCAGAAAATGCTACCATAAAACAAAATGCGTACCATAAAATAAAACCCTGTACGAAAAAAAGGTATTAGGAAACGTTACGTTTAAAATAAAAGTCTTACCTCTGCTCAGAGGGTTTTCTCAAACAAATTGGCAAAATGCCAACAAACGCCAATAGCTCTATCGGTTTGAGCCTTTACCACCAATATGACGAGGGAAGGTAGGCACGAAATGTGACTATACACTGTCAGATATAAAGTGACCAACAAACTTCGACCGGACTGGGATATTTCGCCAGAAATAAACTTGAAGAAAAAAATAAAAGATAATAGCAGTACTTAGAATACCATCTCGGTGCGGTAAAATAAAAGATAATAGCAGTACTTAGAATGCCATATAAAGTGACCAACAAACTTCGACCGGACTGGGATATTTCGCCAGAAATAAACTTGAAGAAAAAAATAAAAGATAATAGCAGTACTTAGAATGCCATCTCGGTGCGAGGACTTAAACTTGATTCATTTAAATAAAATAATTCTGTACATTTATATAAATTATGTGTATTTTAAATAAAATGCTACAATATTCATTGATTTTCTGAGCATTAGTCTTATTGTGAAATGTTTATAGTTTTACAATATGCCCAGTCATTTTGAAAAAGCCTAGGCGTATTATAATAAGTTTGGTTTTAAAATACGCCTACGACATATATATTTGACAACTGATACAACAGCTTGGGATCTGTATTACCAGAAATCAACAGAAGAAATTAAGTTAGCATGAAGTAGAAGAATCTCAATCATAATCAAATCTAGAATGCCACTCTATCTAGAGAAGAAAACATTCGACGAATGTGGATACCTGGATACTTAAAACGAACATCATAAGGAAACGGCAGGTCGCACAACGTTCAATGGAACGTATTTGAAAAATGGAAAAACAGCAAGGTACGATGGAATCAAGTCAAAATTTTTGTAATTTAGAACTATTTTATTTTTACCTTGGCAGAAGATGTACTTTTTCTTTTTTGTAATGCCATAAAATCGATATACTCTTTGGAAAATTTCGATAAAATTGGGACTATGGGCCATGACGGCTGCTCATCTGAAATTGTCAGAAAATTTATTTTATTTTCTAAAAATATATAGTTTTGCGTACACCTGTATATTTAAAAAAGAATCACAGAACCATTTACTTTGTTTTATTCATTTAATTATAATTAAATGAATGACGATTCCTTGCTTAATCTTTTTTATTCAAACAAATATTCAATCATAATTACAAAACAACCCTCTTTAGAACTTTTTCTTTAATGGCAATAAACGGGAGTAAAAGATTAACTGTGTGAACAAACACTAGAGGCGCCAACGGGTATCAAATGGTGTAAAAACTGCAAAAAATTTAATAGTCAAATTTTGGAACGAGGGGTCGCCCTTAACTTTTTTAAATTTTAATTCGGTTTTCATTGTTTTTAAACTATATTATTAGATTTTGTTGTATTTTCTGAATGTATAAATGTTTTCTTAGTATAAAGATGCATTATATTAATTTAAATTATATTACAAACATAAATTAACAGGATAAAATTAAAATATTATGACATATATGTTGTAACAGTCAAATTTCCTCGCAACGACCTCTGTGGCTCATGAATTATCCCAAATAACTATTATTTTTGCATCATGTTTACTATAATTTTATTGTTAAATATTATTCTATTTAGTATTTTACCATTATGCAACCGAATATACACCGCGATATTATACAAGCTACAGCTACACAACATTGTCTTGTCGACCTCTCTTTATCTTTGGTCATCACTTATCACTTGTCACTGTCAGATCAGATCAGATGTTTTTGGATTTATTTATCCTTTGTTTTGGTTATTGACATTTTATAATTATCAGATAAAATTTCGTAGTTAAATCGTTTATTTTTTATGTGGATCGCAGTGTGCAGTTCGTTCATTTTAATTGTGGAATTTCTGAGTTAAGTTCGTTCATTGACCGGATATGAAATATGGCTGTTGGAAAATATTCTAGAACATCGTTTTTTATTTATGCATTTTTGTGAGTTGGACTAGTCAAGATATATAGTTTTCTATCTATATCCTGGAGGGAGATTTCCGGTTGAAATCTGATTTTGTGAAGGAAATCGAATCCTTGCATCACTTCTTATGTACTCCCCGACCGGGTATCATCGTGAAGAGCTGGCTGCCGTTTCGTGAAGCATTCCCTGTTGGTGAATAGCAGGTCTTCGTAGAGAAGGATTAAGGCTTCCGAAACATACTTGGTCAGAGACGTGGTTGGATTTTGATGATTTATATGGACCGCCGACCAATTTCCGCAATGGGATTAAAATAGCCAAATTTTCCGACCGATATTCCGATTCCACGTGCCCAAGAAGTCCCCGAATAGTTCCAAGGTATGCTATAATTCTTCTGCCTATTCTAAGTCAATGATCAACTGATTTTTATTCGTATTGTTGACTGGTTTTCGACTTTTCCACGCCCACGTGGTGTAGAAAGATTAGTTGAGTGTTATCTTTCTTAAGTCTTATTTGGTTGTTCGTAATTGTAGAGCAAGAAGACCGATCCAGACCGTAGTACAGAACAGTCCAGAATTCAATCCGTTCCTGTTGTCCGTGTAGAGGTACCCGTTGGACATCTTAAACCCTCGTTGAGGTAAAGTTCAGATTTAATTAGTCCTTTATCACCTTTATTATCTCCTACACGTTGTGCTAGTCCTTGTTCTATAATTGAGGCTCTTTTCTAAGACAACCAATATGATTTAGGGTTTTTATGTTCACCTTTTGAAGTCCTACACCTGCCTGTACGTTTGCTGAAGGGCTCCAGCTATATGCCGTAGCTCAGCCGGAGGAAGTTTTCAAGTATATCACATCAAGTAGAGTAAGACTGTTTAGATATTTGTAAATTTTAGATTTGATTTATGGGTATAAACCACCCTGATTGTATCTAGTATTAAGTTAGATAAGGGGGTTTCACGTCATAGGTTTAGTTATTACATTTAATTTAAAATTCCATTTTCTTTTCCAACCTTTCGATTTAAAAAATTTCTTAACGTATTACATTTTACAGTTCATTCGTTTTTTTTATATATATTTAACTTTTTAGTATTTTAATAAATTGCTTAAATATTTTTAGTAGTATTATTTACAGTCTAGTCTCATAGTTAAGTTAGAGTCACTTAAGTACAAATAGTTATAGAATTGTAAAAAATGTCTATACCTATGTGGCGGATTCATCTATCCAAAAAAATCCTTATAATATAAAAAAAACAAAAAAAAAACAAAAAGAACATAAAGATTATTTAAGAAAGGGAGATTTTCATTTCATTTGTCAGCATTCATGGGACACAGGGCACAGAATAAATTTTAATAACGCCAAAATTATAATGAAAGAAGCGATAGCCTCTAAAAGAAAAATAAAAGAGGCTTTTTTAATTCAATCTAATAAAAATAAATGTATTGCTCATGCATCTGTAGATGTTAGTAATGTATGGCAATCGCTTCTTTGATTTTAAAGAACATTACATAAATAAACATAACATACGTAAAATTTAAAAATAATCATACAGAAATTTGGGCTTTTTGGTTTTACCTTATTAAGTAATTATCAGGTAGTAATTGTTAATTTTGAAGTTTAACTTAATATAATGTCATTTTAACAGAACGTCAACGATTTCTTGTAGACGTATCTGTTTTAAAAAGTAAAGTGTTCTCGAATAGTTCAATTTAAATATTTTAAATAGTTTTTTTTTTCTTGATTCTTTATATTTTTTTGCTTCCGACGACGGAAAGAGAAAACTTTCCGAAACGTTAAGCATTTTTTTCTTTGTTAGGCAAATTTTTATTACTGTAAACACAACTTCTGACAAGCAGCGTCCGTTTAGGTTTAACGCAGAAGTGTTTACAAAAAATAACTATTTTATTTTGTAGATTTTTCTTGCAGTGCAGTGGCGAAAAGCCCATAAGGATTTTTTTGGATAGTTATAGAATATTTGAAGTTCATGATAGTTGCACTCAACAGTTCGCGGTTAGTGTTGAAGTCTACTTAATAGTAACATCTTTTATGCCGAGTTCATAGAGTATAATCTCGTGGCGCCCTTTTATTAATATCTTTGAACCCCGACCACCCGGCTGTTAAAATTAAAAAGCTAGTGGCCTCTATGCAACTCATTACCGATTAAGTAAACTTGTGTTTTATTGAACTTCGAATTAGAAAAGGGCGCGGCAATGTCAGTTGCCGTCTAAAATGTCATCTTGATGACAAAAAGTTAGTTATTGTCAGAGAGATAGTTAAAATATTAAAATTCACAAGTTATAATCAGTAGTTAGAATATATTTTATATTATTTCAAAAACAAAAACATAATGGTACAGCGTAATTTTGATATGCAGGTTCTAAACAAAAAGTGCTGTTATATTTTTCAGTTTTCGTTGTCAACCTCGGAAGTTTCAGTGATTTTAGTGTTATCGGCTATTTTTATTTGTGAAAAAGAAATACCTATTGCGTTTGGATTGCAAAACTAAAAGTGGCAGTTTTATTGCAATGTAAGTAAGCGTTTATCCATTTTATATTTTACTTTTTTCATACCTACGACAAATATACATACATAGGAGCATATTATATTGAAATATTATAACTCGTTTTATTTAAAAATTTTTAGAGAAGAAGCCTGTAACTGACCTACCTAATTGTTATTTAGTACGAGTATATTCAATTTAAATCATAGACAAACAAATAAAAAGAGACTGACAAATCTCATGGTAAAGAGTGAGACCGCCGAGGGGTGTCTCACTATTGGAATTACATGTACATTTTCTTGGCAGTCGCTGGCAGTCATTGGCAGTCTTCTTCATAGTCATTTTAACAGTGCTTAACAGTGGAAGGATATTTTGGCAGTACATGTACATTTTTTAACCGAGTGAGACACCCCTCGGGGACCGCGTTCCCGTAGCGCAACTCAGATTAACAATTTTGAAACCAATTAGCAGGACCATCGTAGGACGTACGTCTTTATTGCTTTCATTCTTTATTATGTGTACTTTATATGAAAAAGAAAGAGATAGGTATAAAACGTATCGTAAGACATTATCGCACATTCTGGCTGGCGGAAAATTTTAATTAGCCATTATTAGTAGTAGGTATTCTTTCATTCTGAAACTGAAAATCTTCACTTAAACTGATTTATTCCCTATACCACGTAAAGGGAACGTGGTGTAGGGAGTAAATCAGTGTAAGTGAAATTTGCAGTTTCTTTCAGAACGAAAGACTACTATTATAAGGGAAATTATAAGGGAAGGCTATTATAAGGGAAATTATAAAAAAATAAATATAAATTAACTTTTTATAATATAATAACAAAAAATAACAGTGTTTATTCCACCCACCTACCAATTTTAAATGCAGAAGAACTGACTGTTGCAAGAAACCATCGACCAATTTTTTTAAAGGGCATTAAAAATCTCATTTTCGAAAAAACTGCCTAATTGCAATAACAAAGTGAATATCCAAGCAAAGAAGACTTTACGGGAATCATGATCATGAACTATTTTCAAGTTCAGTTTTAATCCTAAAACAAAAGTAAAATAGGTATATTAATAAAGTTTCTGTTTACTATAAACCAGCTATAAACTACCTACCAAAAAATGAAAAAAATTAATTGTATTAATTTGTTATGTTAAGAGAGGTTCGAAATATTTTTGACACTACTACTTCTACTTTTTTCTTAATAAGATGATAACTATAACTACGTACTTTTATTTTACCGGGTGTCTTTAACATATCTATCAGAGAAAGGAAGCACCAATACATATAAAAAATAGATGATACTGGCTCCTGCAGCAAATAAAATAACAAATAGTATAACCTAAAATTATAAGTAACAAAATATAAATACCTATATGGAACAAAGGAATTTGTTCCCTATACATATTCATAAGTCAATAAAATGGAGAGTTTAGAAAAAAAGGTAAATCACCAAAACAAAAATTAACAAACATGACGAATTGTCATGATGTTGTCATCTTGGTTGTCATGATGATGAAAACGAAAGGCGATTGTTCTAATTTCTATTTAGAAATTACGTTTTATATGGCTGCTTGTTATATTAGAATGAGATAGTGGGCCCAATAAACGCAATGCGCAGATCAACATAAATAGAATGACATTTTGCGTTCTGAGTTGCGCTACGGGAACGTTGTCCCTCTCTTTACCATTTAATTTGCCAGTCTCTTTTTATTTGTTTGTCTATGATTTAAATGTAATATATTACTTAACAATAAAAAAAAAGTATATTTGAAAAATATATTAAAAATATATACAGGCATTAATTGAAATTTTTAGTATGCGAACAAGATGCGAACAAACACGAGATGCGCTTTATTTACTTTCTTTTAGATGAAGTTCTAAAGGGGGATGTTTGTGATCATAATGTATGTCACTCACCTGCAGTATCTGTCAAAACCACATAATAAGTTTCTTTTTCTTTAAGTATATCCAGCCCATCTATTGTGGGTTGAAACTGGCTCAGTTTTATCATAACAGTTTTGTCCGTACACAAACCAAAACTAGCTAACATATTAAGAAACTAAAGTAAAATGGTTGCATAACTAAAGTAAAATTACATACTTTTTTCAGGCAAATGCAATTTATCACTTATATAGTCCCTGATCAATCCTATAGGACATTTTGGGTTGACCAAAAGTGTTTTATTTTGAATGTCTGATGCTTCTAGCTTTTCATTTTCGATTTTCTTAAATTCTTCTATGTCTAGAATATGCAACTTCAGTAATTTTCTTACCAAGATGTTGAAGTTTTAATTTTTAATTTAGATGAAAGCTTTTTTATTAAATATTGCCAATATTTACCTATATATTTAACATAAAAGTACATTTAAGTATCACTGAGTTTTTTAGACACTCAAATAGATTGGTTTTAATAAAGTTTCTTTTGGTGATCAATATGACAATAAACATAAATTAATGTCAATCTCACTGTAACTGTCTCAAATACAGCAATATTATACAGGATGGTGCATCGTCGTTGGAAACATAGTAAATTCCATGCCAATTTTGAAATGCATAAATATTGGCTTCCCTGTTAATTTTACAACAAAGTCGTAAATATAGCCACTACTTATACAGACATTACTCACAACATGTATACATATAAAATAAATAATAACACACGCGTGAGTTTTTGATTTTTGGTTTTGACACACCATTTTATAGAAATTATTAAACTTTATTCATAAATTACTAATTGAATTATTTATTTAAATTAACATTAACATTAAATAATTTTTTTGTAGATTCAGAAATTGTGAAACCTTGTATGCCTCCAGATGCTGTCCCTCCACTGCGTGAAATAGGTTCTGTTGTTACAACGGCTCGTTCTGGAACACTTAACAGCACCTTGAATCTTTATTTTATTGTTGATGGATTCTTCGCGATCGCCACCCTCCGTGTCTTGTTAACGATGTCATGTTCACTCCTGCATTGAGGAAGATGCATATATTTTATTTTTCGCCAGAAACTGTTTAATTTATTAGAATAAATATGTGTAAATGCAAAAAAAAACTTTTTTCTTGAAAGCAGCACCACAATTTTATAAAACGGGCCTTTAAAATACTATGGATACTGCAAACGACGCCTCGCGAATTGAAACGATATTCTATTGGTCTGACATCACCCGCCGTTCTCGTCGACGCGCGATGGCCAGCAGCAGCCAGACGTGTTCCGTTTATGTACGTATTTAGGTGGCGTACTAAGACATTTTTGTTGCTTTTAGCGTTGATTGAAGGAGCTTTTTATGCTTTTTTGTGCAGTTATTAGTTGTATGTGTTGTGTGTTCTGAGAATTTTTTAAGTAATGGTAGATTCCGGGTTTGTAAAAGCACAATCAGATAACTTGCCAAAAGTCGATGCTTTTATGTTGGCTGCCTTTATAAATACAGATTCCCAATTTATTGGTGCTGAATTACGAGGAAAAAAACAGAGAGGTATGTAACATTTATTCTTTGTAGCACTGAGGCATATTTAAGTATAAGTAGGTACCTACTGTTACGAACTTTTATATAGTTATAAATATTAATGTTATAGACTTATTTTTCAGATCAGGTAGGGAGACGTATGGAGATAATGCTGTAGGTTATGTAGAAGTGAAAAGAAACAAAAATATTTGTTTAGTACGTGGAAAAATAACTCCAGAGCATAGCGTGAAAAAGAAAGTTTTTTTATATATTGACACCCCCTTACCCTTGTTATTTTTAAAGATTGTTTTTTTTATAAATATATTATATAAATATATAATTATAGGAAATAAATTGTTTATCAGTAATGAAAATATTATACAAGGTGTCCCATAAGCAAACGCCAAAATTAAGTTAGTTTTTTAAGTGAAACACCCTATATATTTTTGGATTCTTCGGAAATTTCTAGATATTCTAGATATATTTCATGTATAATATCCTATACCTATCTTTAAATGTTTACGAAATATTGACAGTTGAAAAGCGAAAAATACCTACAATTTTCTGGACCACCTTTTTTGAGACGCCCTGTATAACTAGAATTAATTTTAAAAGAGAGTATATGAAAAACCATGAAACTTTTTTATTTAATGTTTTCTTCTAAAACTTGCAGTTAATGTGTATGTGAGTGTCAAAATATAACGAATAACTCTGTACATTCAAATTTCATATAGCTATGTACGACAATATACATAAATATATGAACTTACATCAAAATAATCTTCACAACAATAAATCGTAAAAATAGATGATAATTTAACGTTTTTCTTTTCATCTCTTCCCATGGCCTTGAACCATTTTTTTTTCGCTCATCCATTACTATTTATAAATATCACTAATTACTAATTATGTATTAATTAACGCAAATAACTAAATTTTGACTCGAATTCAACAGCGTTTAAAAGAAAACTGTGTAAAATAAACACGCGTCTGGCTCCACTCAACCGGAAGAACGGCGGGTGACGTCACAGCGGCAAAGCGCGGTGGAGAGCGTTTGCCCGGCCATTTAAATTAACAATATTTAATTATTTTATATTAGAGGCATTTCTTAACCGATATCAACAATTTTTTTTTTGTTCAATTTGTAATTATATGAACTATTTTTTAAAACCATTATTTAAAAACATGCATTTTCCTCTTTGCCAGTAATGTAGCGGATGACTTTCTCATACAATCGCCAGTGTATTGCTCAGGATGTTGTAGGCCCAAGTACTTGCGGAAGATCTTCCTGAATCATTTTTCTTTAAAATCTGACTTGCTGGTTGATAATTCACTAGTTTATCATCAAAAAATCTCGATTTATCTAAATGGCGTCTTAATGTCATGTAGTGCTATTTAATATTTATAAAAAAAAAAAAAAAAAAAAAAAAAAAAAAAAAAAAAATAAAAAAAAAAAAAAAAAAAAAAAAAAATATTTGCACCCTGATAATTTATTAATTCGCAACAATGAAAGTAGAACTGGTAGAGCCTTTTAAATCTATTATTCTTTAGAGATTGAACATGAAACAGTTCTGCTGTTGGATAAAATTTTGTATGGCACTCGCGTGTTATAACATACAGGGTGGCCCATCGAAAACGTTCCGCAAGGCATAACGGCTAGGGTATTCTTTTTTCCAAAAAATGCAAAAACACGTCAATTTTGTTTGTGAGGGGGACAACTTTTGCCCCAAGAATGATTGCGAAATCTTCAACCCTCTGAGCGGGGGTGTCATCCCCCAACTTTTTTCAAATGGGAAGGGGGGTCAAGTGGCGCCGCAATGAAAAGAGCTTTCTATTCTCTATATTTCCCCGCTTCGTTTTTGAAAATCGGTCGAGTCATTGAGGAAATATGAAGGATTGAAATTTGAAAAGTTTATTTAAACATTTATCAGAGTAAATGATAAGGATAAATTTCTTCAACCAATTAGAGGGAGGGCAACGGCACAGCTACGTTGAAATACCTGTTCCCATTAGAACACCGAAGTTAAGCGACATAAGGCGATGCTGGTGGATGGACAGGTGACCGGTTCGAAACTTTGCATCGTGCTGTTGTCCAAAAAGGGAAAAGTGTAAAATCTATTAATACACACTGCTCGTTCACGCCGGTTCAAGGCCGAATGAGATCGGATATCTCGTGAGTAAGAGTTAATTTAGACACTTCCTAAGTCGATAGGCCATTGACCATGATATGGGCGAGGAACGCGGTTCGGATTCCGCGTAAACAAGTTGGTCCCGTCCAATTTAGCCATCGCAGCAGAAAGGAGACGTTAACTTGAACCTCACACCAATTTGAGGTTTTTTCTTATTATTTCTAGATGTTTACGCATTTTTTCACTTACCACAAGGTTGAACGATCAGGTGCGGTAGTTGCTAGATAGCTGTTCTGTGACTTGTGCGTTGAAGTTCTTCGCAATATCATTAAACTGACCCATAATAGAATTTCTAAAAATACCAGCCTACACATTCAATTTCTGAGCGTTTTGTGTGTACACCTCGTGAAAAACCCTGGGGTTGTCTTAAGCCCAGTACCGACAGTTGTGCCGATTAACTACACCGTTCAAAAAGAAAGTACACTCATACAAAAAACACACATTAAATAGGAAATTATTATCATTCGCAACTCGTTCACTCATAGTTTTACAAAATTGCAAGCGACGATCAAAATCGTCTTCGCTGAGTTCTTGTACCAACTGAATTTTGTATGGGTGGAACTTGCGTTTTTTTAATATGCTTTCGACACGTGTGCGATTCACGCCGGTCTCATTGGCTAATTTTCTTGTACTCAGCGTACTATCCATAGCAACTTGGCCCAATACAAATACCTCCATAGCTTCATTTACTACAGGATTTTCCCTCTGCCTCCTTTTATTCATAACGGAACCAGTTTCACGAAATTTTGCTACTAACTCGCGAACAATTTTGCCATAAAGGTGGTTGTCAGGATGGCGTTCATTGAATATTTGCGCAACCCGATTTTCGCATTCATTATTTTTAAAATAAAGTTGGATTATTTCTACTTTTTTTGCAAGTGAGTATACCATAATAATTAGTTAAAAAATTTAACGATATTGAGAATAAGTCACAGAACAGCTATCTAGCAATTACCGCACCTGATCGTTCAATCTTGTGGCAAGTGAAAAAATGCGTAAACATCTAGAAATAATAAGAAAAAACAGCAAATTGGTCGAAGGAATTTATCCTTATCATTTACTCTGATAAATGTTTAAATAAACTTTTCAAATTTCAATCCTTCATATTTTCTCAATGACTTGACCGATTTTCAAAAACGAAGCGGGAAAGTATAGAGAATAGAAAGCCCTCTTCATTACGGTACCACTTGACCCTCCTTCCCATTTGAAAAAAAAAATGAGGTATGACACTCCCGCTTAGAGGGTTGAAGATGTTGCAATCATTTTTGGGGCAAAAGTTGTCCCCTTCACAAACAAAATTGACGTGTTTTTGAATTTTCAGAAAAAAAAATTACCCTGGCCGTTATGCCTTGCGGAACGTTTTCGATGGGCCACCCTATATAAGGCACACTGGGAAATGTTAAGGCTAATTTTCTCACGACCAGGGTATTTTTTTTCAGAAAATTCAAAAACACGTCAATTTTACTTGTGAGGGGGACAACTTTTGCAACCAAAATGACTGCAAAATTTTCAACCCTCTAAGCGGGGGTGTCATCCCCCATTTTTTTTTCAAATAGGAAGGGGGGTCAAGTGGTACCGCAATAAAAAGGGCTTTCTATTCTCTATACTTTCCGGCTTCGTTTTTGAAAGTCGGTCGAGTCATTGAGAAAATATGAAGGATTGAAATTTGAAAAGTTTATTTAAACATTTTTCAGAGTAAATGATAAGGATAAATTCCTTCGACCAATTTGAGGTTTTTTCTTATTATTTCTAGATGTTTACGCATTTTTTCACTTGCCACAAGGTTGAACGATCAGGTGCGGTAGTTGCTAGAT